TGTGTATATGTATGTATGTATGAGGAGTATTCAGATGACGTCTGTGTGTTTTAACTAATTATTATACTATTTAATAATTTTATATAAAATGTAAATTTTGTCGATTCAACCGTTAAATTATAATTTCATATCACCTTAAGTATGTGTATGAAATTTCGTTAAAATTCAACAATAATTTGAAAGTAATCAAAATATTTATATTTTAATATATTTTGAAGTGTATATATTATATCAATTTTATTTTATAAGAATGAGGTATTAAATCAACCTAGATTCATATGAAATTTTGTATTTATGATTTAGGAGTAACAAACTTTTAAGAAGTTTCGAAATTGAGCGATGTAATAGTTGATAAAAGTTATATCAATATTGTTTGAATCTTCTCTCTCTATATATAGAATATTATCTATAACCATATATCTATAACTATATATAAAAGGAATATTCCTTTTTGGTGTTCACTTTTTCAAAGACAATTATATCTTTATGTCATATTTTATTTTTTTCACTAATTTATATTTAAGACTAAAATAGGAACAATATATATACAAAAGAAAATTATTCTCTTTAAAAATAATAACTATCCACTTTTTTTTTTTGGAAACACTAATTTGTTTTATTTTTTTACGGAGTCACAAAATGCATTTTTCTTGCTAGTAAAACATAAAAATTATGTATAAAACATTTTCTCATTTTATTTTTCAGCAGTTTAAATAAATAATTACAAAATATTATCTTATTGTTAAATTATATTTTTTTAAAATATATAAATATATATTATATTTTCTATATGAGTCTTGAGATATAAAAAGAATATATTATTTCTATAATTATTTACTAAAAGAAATAAAAAAAAATGAAAACAGGAATTTGTGGCCTTTGCAAGGTATTAAAAAGGCAAAGCAAATATAAAAAATCATGGCACCATAAAAAGTCCTGCATGGGCTCGAATGGATGTTCTTTCGAGAAAAAAAAGTCCCGCTTCGCTTAAGCTAAATTTGTTTAGCTTTTTAAAAAACTACTTATTACTACGTTTTTTTATTTTTAAAATAAGCTACTTTTTTTTTTAAGTACTTTCATATAAAATGTTTTTGGCCAAATTATTACTTACAAAAGGAAATTAAATTAAAAACAAGTCAGACAAAGCACATTATTATCAGTTATAATCTCTTAAGGTCATCTTTATACATGTTCAACTTACCTTAATTGAATTTTTTTTTTATCTTTTCCTTAATTAGTATTGCATAAATTTCTTTTTGTATGCAATCACTTTATATTATATTTTTTCCTTTATAGTTATGCATCTAGATGTTGGTCGTTCAGTAAGAAGTCTCAAGGGGCTCAACTCACTCAGTTAGATGTTGGTCGCTCAGCGAGAAGTCCTAGAGGACTTAGCTCGTTTAGCTAGATGTTGGTGGCTCATCTTGATGTATTCGCTTAGCAAGAGGCTCTAGGGAGCTTAGCTTGCTCAACAACTATTAGATGGTTGTTTTACCCTTGTGATCTTGATACTACCTTTTTATTAATGACTAGTTGATGTATTTGAGAATGTGCATGGGATATATGAGGTGATATAAAGAATATGTGACATGTGAAGTTGGATCATGAGTATGTTACTGCTTCGAGTTTGTTTGACATGCATCATTTGCATAAAAACGTGTTTTAAACGTACGATATGGAATACATCGCCAAGGAAGGCTCCCTTGTGTAAAAACTTTGGGATTAGTCCTTAGGGATAACTCAATTTGGAAGTCTTAGTCATGCCCTCATGTGTATGAGGTGTATCTTGCATGACTTAGCTATCTCGACCAGACCCTAGTAGTATGTCCTCCTAATGAGAGTGCACAAAGGGTGTGACCTAACGTGTACTTCTAGGTTACTCTACGTGTATTGCTAACAACAATGCACAAGTTTTGTTTTTTACTGATACCACATGCATGATAATCTGTAATTTGTGTTCATTGTATATACATTATAATGTTAATTGTTATTGTTTATTATGTCATAAATGAAGCAAGCATGATAATGATATTATCTACGTATGCCATGTCTTGTCATATGTCTTATTTGAGTTTGGCTATCCGATTTGCATTCCTACACTGTAGGCTAGAATGTGATGTTTTTCACTCCCTTTGTCTTGAAGATGATCAACATGATGCTCAAGATGTTAGTGATGAAGCTTAGGATTCATGTTGGGTTACTCTGATGCAACATGTGACATCAAGACATAGTTAGGACTAGTCAAGGACTTTGATTTTATTGGTTCATTTGAACACAATCAGTTTTTAGTTTCTTTGTAATTCTTTCAGTTGTGTTATGTTATTTTTTTTAAGACACAATGTGATTCTCTCTACTTGTTAGGATTTTTGAGTTATTTTATTATATTGAGATTATTTAGTTTTTTATTTTTATTTTTATATGTTATGATATGTGGGGTAGAGGTGTCAAAAATTAACCTTATATGTCTTATTTCATTTTAGCCTCCAACTTGTATCTTGTGTGTGATATTCTTATTATTATTTTTCTATCATTTTGTTGTATTAATCTCAAATGTATCTTTATTGGTTACCTATATAATAAAAAAGGTACAAGTGTTATCACTTTTAAACTCGTCAATTTTTGTATCAATGAATGTCACATTTCATGAAATAGTACCCTTCTTTTCCAACCCTCAACTTCAAGGGGTTTATATTTTAGAAGTTAAATTTTTTTGGATTATTATCTCTTCCTTCCTTATAGGACGTACAAGATACTAATCTTGAAGAAACACAAATAGATCATTATGATGAAGCAAAGGAATATCACGATGATGCAAAAGAGAAAGATTGATTCTTTGGAAGAAAAATATTAAAAAGAAACCTATTGTATTCCTACAACAAATTGAATTGTCTAAACTAGAGGTAAATGTCCGTGTGGATGATAATGATGATGAGAAAGTTACAAATGACATGCTTATTGGCTTGAGGGAAGGGAAGATATCATATGTCATGTATCTTATTTCTTAATTTGTTTGCACCAACCATCTTTTTATTCAACATCAAAGTTTTGCTACAACCATTGATGTAATGAAAACACTTAAGTCAATACAAGAAATTCCTAAAGATAGAATTTGGTTTAGAACCATGAATGAAAAGATGGGGCATTAGAGAGAAACTCAACTTGAGATATAATTGATAAACCAAAAGACAAGATAATTGTAGAATCCAAATGGATATACATAATAAAGTATAAATCGGATGAGATATTAGATCGATACAGGGCAAGATTGATGGACAAGGGGTACACAAAAACTTATGGCATTACTATGGAGAAACATTTGCTCTTTTAGCAAAAATGAATACAATAAAAATCATTTTCTCCCTAGCTGTTTACTTTGGTTGGAATCTACAACAATTTGATGTTAAAAATATCTTCTTGAATGAAGACCTAGAGGGGGAACTCTACATGGAGATTTCCCCAGGATTTAAATCTCATGACGAAAATAATAGGGTGTAGGTTGAAAAAGGTTCTCTTTGGCCTCAAACAATCTCTCTGAGTATGGTTTGAAAGTTTTACTTAAACCATGAAGTCCTTGGGAAACAAATAGAATCTATCATACTTGATTCATAAAACATTCCCCGGATGAAAAACTCATTTTTCTTCAAGTGTATGTAGATGATATGATCACTGTAAGTGATAATGAGATAGAGAAAATAATCCTAAAATAAATTTTGGCAACTCAATTTGAAATGAAAAAGTTCTATAAGCTTGTAATTCCTTGAAATAAAGGCTGCCTATTCTAAAAAAGACATCTTCATCTCTACAAGAAAATATGTTCTTGATCTTTTGAAGGAAACATGAAATGAGATGCAAAGCTAAATAAAGAAATTTGAAATAATCACATCAACATATCTTTTAACTTTAAATTTTATGAAATGAAGGATTATTTATATTTTCTTTAAAATGTTAAAAATAAAAATAATATGTACATATATATATATAATATTAATATATAATAATAATATATTGTTAAAGATAAGAAGTTATAGAAAAAATTCTGAAAAATGATTGTGTTAAAAAATAATTAAAAACACTTTTATTCAAAAATAGTCTAAAAACATTTTGATTCAAAAACATTTTTTTTCTAATTTGAGAAACATGATAAATTTCAATAATTTATTTGATATTTTTTCAGTTTTAACTTTAGATATTAATATAAGAAAAAAATAAATTATACTTTTAGTTTTTTTTATCTTATATTTAAATTTATTTTAATCTTTTATTTTTTAAAATGTTCATTTTAATTATTTATCTCTTAAATTTAGACGAATATGATATTTTTGAAATAATAATAATTTTTAATTTTTAAGAAATGATTTTAAATATTTTTAATTAATTTAAGATTTGAAACTCATCTCATTATATTAAATACAATCAACATTCAAACTAACAAGTTTTACAAACATGATAAATATAGTATAAAATAAGTATAAAAAAAAGTAAAAAATTCAAAAATTTAATTTTATACTATTTTTTAGTTAATCTTATGATATATTTTTCACTATATTTATAGTTTTTTTAAATTCAAACTTTAATTAAATTTTATAATTTTCATGCAAGAACAATCTCATAATTCAAAATTATGTCATATAATTAAAAATAATTATTTTAAAAAAGATTAATTTAATCAAATATAAAAAATTAAAAATTAAAATAAATATTTTATCATATATAACATAAGATTAAAATAAATATTAAAAATGGTCCTTTATTTATTGTATTGTATGTGGTAAAATACAAATTCTGAAAAATCGTAAAATCCAAATTTGATGTTTATCAGATGAAATCATGCTGGTGAAAACGTTCTTAATTGTTAATTTTGTTCTGGCATCAAATCAGGCTGACGGCAAGAGTGTTTGGTTTGCATATTTGATGGATGATGATCCCACACACAATCCACATCACATCACATCACCATCACATACATGAAATGATCATACCTTCATCCTCGTCACTCTTCACTCTTCCCACTTTCGATTCCGGAAATACCTAACAAAACAAACAGTCCCAGAAACAATCATTAAACTCCCAACCTCTGTGTTGTTCCACTCACCACTCACCATCACCCTCCACTCTCATACCCCAATTTCAAATTAAAGTTTCCTCCTTTTCTTCCTTTCGCTGCTGCAATCTTCGCTCTTTGAATCTCACTTGAACAAAGAGAGTCTCGGATATGTAAAGAGATGCTCACAACTTCCGCTTTTCAAGTTTGCCATTTTTATTCAAATTCTCAAGGTATTTGAGCTCATCGATTAAATTCAACTTCTGGGTGTCTCTGCAAATTTAATCATGATTTGTGGTCGTTGGCAAAAAAACATTTTTTTTCTCCATCACTTGTTGTGTTTGTGGACTCTGGCCTTTTGTATTAATGAGGGATTCTGAGGTTTATGCTGTGCCTTGGGGTGTAAACGATTGTCAATTCAAATGGGTACTTGCTAAATCTGGGGCGAGGGGAGTTTTGGGGGAATTTGTTCAATTGAAATGTTGTCTGAGTACTAGAAATGATTTTCATGTTTGGTACTTTTGTTTATTGAAGTGCTACTGTTTTGATTTCTACTTGAGTGGTAGGTTAGTTTTATGTTGTGTGTTTCTAGTCCAACTCAATTGAGCCAAGCAATCCAGACAAATGTTATATTGTTAATGAGTTTTTATTGTTTGTTCCATTAACTCTAAAATAGGTAAAGTGGTGATTTGATGTATTTGTTTTAGCAGAAAGAAAAGCATTTTAAATTTGTGGGGAGGGCTGTCATGCTGAATGTTGTTGCCTACCATTGGAGTAGAGATGAATTCTGCAATGGATGATATGAATTTGATTCAGCAAACCCAGAGACACCACCACTTGGTTGTGAGAGAAATTGGTGAGGAGATTGATTTAGAAATTGGACCTGGGGAGGATGACCCTTCATTTGGTAACACTACTCTAATTGGTGCACCAATGCGGGAATCTTCCGCAGAAGAACATGGTGAGAGCAAGCAGATGGGGATGGTTTCTCAGCTTCCTAATGATGCTCAAGATATGTCCAAGACCCAACAAGTAAAAAGGAAGAAAAAGGTTGTTAAAAGATGGAGAGAAGAATGGGCAGATACCTATAAATGGGCTTTCGTTGATATGAAAGATGGAACACCAAGGATTTTCTGCTCTGTTTGCAGGGAGTATGGCCGGAAGCATAGAAGAAATCCTTATGGTAATGAGGGCAGTCGTAATATGCAGATGAGTGCCCTGGAAGAACACAATAACAGTTTGCTTCACAAAGAGGCTCTTCGTCTTCAAATGGCCTCCAAAGATAAAATTGTGGTTGACAAGCCTGTTTATGTAAAAGGTTAGCCATCTTTGAAAATTTTAATGAATGTATACTGTGTTTTCTAATAGTTGAGTTGAACCATTTGATGTGCTCTTCCCCAATTCATTTTAATTTGTGGTCATAAGTTCATAAAAACATATTGTTAGTCATGTTGAAATTTCACAAAAGATGCATTTCATCAATTATATAGGGTAATATGAATATGTTTCAATGCTGCATTCAACATTTTAACTGATCTTCAGTTGTATGAAGTGCAAGCATTGTGTTATTATTAGAGAAATTTGAATGTAATTGTGAACTATACTTCTTTTTTTGGAGATTATATTACTGACTGATTTGACAGCATCCTATGGCATTCAACTATTTTTATTTGTTCCCTCCACTGGTTTAATGGTTGCTTTGCAAATCTTAGTTTCATGCACACTTTTAAATGCTTGTTTTCTGCTTTTATCCTGAATAAAATATTATTAGTTTGTCATTTTATTTAATATTAGAGTATACAATTGTATTTTGATACTGTAGTTGTATACTGTCTGTATCCTGAAGTTGTATATTGTTGCCAGTGTATTGTTAGCTTTATAACACATATACGTTCCCTCATTCTGTTAGTTATGATTATGAGAAGTAATTAACAGATCAGTTTAAGTGTTCAGATAGTTAGTAGCACAACTGTTCTGTTACAACTGAACTAATTCAGTTGCAACTGTATGCCCTACACAGTTTCCCTATACATCCAGAGCTGCACTCAGATCACAGGATTCACCTATACAACATTTAATGTCATTTTTTAAGTTTCAAGGTGCATCTTAAAATGTCAAACTTCAGATTATCATTACTATGACAAATTTCAGCTCATTTATGTTGTTCTGTGTGTAAGAATTTCTATTTTACAATTGACATCATCAATTTCTTGATTCTTGAAATATGTTGGTTATCTACACACAAAATAATATGTGAAAAAGATAAGTCATCTTCTTTCTTGTAAAAATGTTTACATTCTTGGGTATTGTCTGACAATTCTATAATTGAAGTTGCCATGTCAAAAACAGCGGGATCAATTCTTGAAGCTACACTGAAAAGGGATCCTCATGAGGTTGAATTCATTCAGGCAGTCCAGGAGGCAGTTCAAGCCCTTGAAAGAGTCATAGCAAAAAATTCTCGGTGAGTTTTATTCAAATGGCTATAATTATATATTTATTTATCCACAGATGACAAGACCAATGCTTTAGTATTGGATGCATCTCATCAATATTCTCATGTTTCAGTTATGTTAACATCATGGAGCGCCTGTTGGAACCTGAACGAATGATTGTTTTTCGTGTTTCATGGGTGGATGATAGGGGTGAGACACATGTTAATCGGGGATTTAGGGTACAATTTAACCAGTCAATGGGTCCATGTAGGGGTGGTATTCGTTTTCATCCATCAATGAATTTAAGTGTTGCCAAGTTCCTTGGTTTTGAACAGGTATTATGAATATTTTTAGCATTCATATATGGCATTATTTCCTGCAACTAATGAATTAACTATTGCAGAAGTAATGATATATATGTAAGCCTTTATTTGTTTATATTTGACAAATATACTGAGATTCATATATCAGAAAAAGTTAAGAATCTGGATTCTGTCCCAGCTGCATTTCTGTATTGGATCACTTTATTGTTTATACGACACATCCTTCTCTGCAGACTTTAAAAAATGCTTTATCACCGTACAAATTAGGAGGAGCAGCTGGTGGAAGTGATTTTGATCCAAAAGGAAAAAGTGATAATGAAGTGAGTTTTCAACTTATTCAATTGCGAGTAGTAAAGTAATTTTATAATTACTAAACGTTACCTTGATAAGTTGGCAGATTATGCATTTTTGCCAAAGTTTCATGAGTGAGATGTATCGTTACCTAGGGCCTGACAAGGTAATTGAAAGCATATTCTTTTTCTATATCTTTTAACCTATTAACATTCAAGGCCTATTTCATGTATTTTTCTTGTGATGGATGTGTATTAGGACCTTCCATCAGAGGAAATGGGTGTTGGTACCCGAGAAATGGGGTATCTTTTTGGACAGTATAGACGTCTAGCTGGTCATTTTCAGGTAATTCAGACATTCTCAAATCCTAACAAACTATTTGGTGGAAAAATAAATATTTTACCTTTTTTCTTATATGCGTTCTTCTGTACATTTATCCCTCATATTGCTTGCTTGTTGCACTTTATGTAAAAACATCAATAGAATAAATCCCAACGACCAAGTGGCATGATAGTGACGTGGCAGTGTGGAGTAGCCTCCAACTGTTATTCTAAACCTTTCATGGAGCATTTTTATGTAGCAGAAGTTGCATCTTCAAGCTTTGGCCTTTCTCCCAGAAATACTGTCATTGCAGCTGCTTTTGTTGATGGAAGAAAGGTCTCCTCATTAACCCTGTTCTTGTGGGATGCTGATCCTATTTTTGGGATATGCTGGTATTTTAGTATTCTTTTTGAGAGATAAGGTTTCTTTCATTAGAACTGCCATGCTTCTGTCACGAGAAGTTGAGAACAAATATGAAACCAGCAAATCAATGAGTACCTTGGTTTCTGGAAAACATGTCCATTTCTGTCACACAGCTTTGATGTCAGTTCTGGTGTTGTTTTTGACTTTCTGGTGAACTCCCACACCTGTTTTACCCTTCTTTTCTGTTCTCTCTCTCTCTCTCTCTCTCTCCAGCACAGCTCTCTGATCTCCATCCATCAGATTGACAAGGGTCGTTCATTTCATTGTTCTGCCTTTTCTGTCTATTCTTTTTTGGGTCATGTTTTCAAAGTTCTAACTTGAGTCTTGACCTCATCACCACGCCATTTTCATTATTCCTTGACTTGTGTTGTTATCAACTTGTGTGTTTATCGACTTCTCTGTTCTCCTCCATCAGATGGGCTTTTGACCATTAATTATTAATGTCTTTAATTTTACTTATTTTATTTTTGACCATTTATATTTAACTTGTGTTTATAATCTTTAAAATATATGTCATCCCACCATGTGTTATCCTATTATAATGATTTTGGGGTTGGCTGCTCTGCACTGCAATTCAAGATTGATAACTATGGACCCAATCTAATAGCAAAAAGAAAAGGATTTTGTTTGCAGTTGTTCTTTGTTTTTATGTGCGCAGGGATCATTGATTTACTGTGCATAAATGAATGTTGCATATCTTGCACGGTATGCATCAAGTATAGCATAGTGTCTAACATATCTAATCATTTAAGGAACATGAAATTTCAAGATACTGATTATGTTAGCATTTGTAGCTGAAAGGAAAACTATGTTTTCTTTTTGTTGGGTACTTTTCATATGTGTGCCTTACTTATGCAGGGAAGTTTTACAGGGCCAAGGATATTTTGGTCTGGATCCAGTCTTCGTCCCGAAGCTACTGGCTATGGGCTGGTAATTTCAATTATAAATCTTACTATCTAACTCTCCATGGATGTATGGTGAGATGTGAAATGAGTATCCTTCAATTTTCTTTCCCATAAGAGAAATCACTAAGCAGTGTTGCCCACAATGTCATATCAGCCAACTCCATTTCAGAACAAAGGACATGTAACATGCACGTCCATTCTGAACAAGAAGATCAATATAAAAAAGTCCTCTGCATCTATTGTTTCAAGTTATTAAACTTTTAACAAGTTTAGCATGCTTCTGCAGGTTTTCTTTGCCCAGATCATGCTTGCCGACATGAATAAAGAACTTAAAGGATTAAGGTTTCTATTTTAATTCAGACCATTTCATAAACATTATTGCTACCAACTCATTCATTATTGGTGTTACCTTTCGGACCCTCATTTCTTGTTATAATTAAATATTCCTTTGAGGATTTGAATATTTTCTTTTTAATTTGATATAGTTTTCTTTTCTTATATTCAAAATTCCATCAATATTAGAAACCTGGAAGCTCCCATTTTCCATGTTTTTTTAACTTATTAAATTCGTTTTAAGACAATTATGAATTTATTGTGATTCCTAAATTGATTTCAGACATTTATGATCCAGGAATCCTCTTATAATTTATAATTTCCTGTAGGTGTGTTGTGAGTGGTTCTGGAAAGATTGCAATGCATGTTTTAGAGAAGCTAATTGCTTATGGTGCTCTTCCAATTTCAGTATCAGGTAATTTTGGTTTTTTATGAAAATATGGGGGCTACTGCATCTTAGCAGATGCAGTGTATTCTAAATTCTTTTACTCTAGCAATAATGAGAATTTGTGCTTTGTTACTCATAAGAGTTCTCATCTTAATATTAATCATCATCAAATATAGTAGTAATTGAATCTGGGATTCTCATATTATTTTGAATACCTTTATTTTTCCTGGTCTTTTCAAGAAGTATCTTCTTTTAACAAATGCATTTGTCAGATTCTAGAGGATATTTGGTTGATGAGGACGGATTTGACTTCATGAAAATATCATTTTTGAGGGACATTAAAGCTCAACAAAGAAGTTTGCGGTTTGTATCACTTACGTTGTCTCTTTACTCTTTAGTCTATAATTTTACTGTCCTTGTTCATAAAACTGACAATATGCAGAGACTATTCAAAGACCTATGCTCGGTCCAAATATTATGATGAAGCAAAACCGTGGAATGAAAGGTGTGATCTTGCATTTGCTTGTGCTTCACAGAATGAAATTGATCAATCAGATGCCATTAATTTGGTTAATTCAGGTTGTCGTATACTAGTAGAAGGTAGTTGCTTTTGTAAGATGCAATATATATATGGCCTTTTTTCTGTTTTCTTTCTCTCTCATATATACTAATGGAAGCTACTTGTTTAATTTGAATCCTAGGTTCAAACATGCCTTGTACCCCTGAGGCAGTTCAGATTCTGAGGAAAGCTAGTGTTCTCATTGCTCCTGCAATGGCTGCTGGTGCTGGAGGGGTGAGATTTTTACTTTACAATTTCTATGTATATTGCGAACATATTCCCACGGTAACCTAAACAACAGCGACATTAATGATCATGGTGGTGTACAGCCTCTTTCATTTCTAATACTGCAATGATGAAAAATGCAAATATTATCCTCTTTAACTAAGCATGTCAATGCAAAGTTAGTTGTGTATTATATTTTGGTTATTAGGCATCAGTTGGCATGGAGATGTAGAGGAACAGGAAAGAAGATGGAGTAGTTTTCTAATGTTGAGTCCTTGTGTGAGGAATCTAACATCTTTCTCCTTTGCTTCAATTCCCCCCAAATTTCAGGCATAGCATTAGTTTTTTAATAAATACTTCCCTCTATTAGGCCCTCATTAAATGCATATAGTGAATGCTTAAATTGATGAGCAAGGGCCTTGCCTCAATGATAAGTTTTTTGTCTTATGACCGATGGTCGTTGGTTTTAGTTGTGGAAACTGACTCTATCCACGAGAGTTTGTGTACATCTGACTTTCTTCAGCCCCTACAATTATGAGGTGCACTCCCACACTTTTGTACTTGCCAAACTAATGCCATCATTAAGCTGAAGGTTTCATTTGATGATGGTTTAATTGACTAATTATATAATCCATTGGGCTAGAACTGCAAATCAGTCCATTATGTGTCTGTGGTGTATTCCCCTTGTGAAGAACTATATGCAATTGCTTAAAATAACTTGGTAGAACTATTAGAATCTCTAGTTAAGCCATTCCTGAATAAGCAGATTGAAACTCTGATCCTAAGCTCGTGACAGATTGGTTAGCATCATTTAATTGAGTTCAACTTATGGCAGATTCAATTTCAACATCAACATTAGACATGACATTTGGACGGACCGTTCTTTAATCTTCTGTTCTTATTACTTGCAGGTCGTGGCTGGAGAACTTGAACTGAATCATGAATGCAGTTTGATGAACTGGTCACCAGAGGACTTTGAATCTAAATTGCAGGTAGTTTTGTGAAATCAATTGCTCTTACAAATCATATAAAATCTGATATGCTTCTTGTTTGCAAAGGAATAAATTATAATTTGTATTTGTGATTTCCATTTTTCTTTTATTTTTGGGGGGGGGGGGGTTGACAATTATTGGGTCCATGGCACACATTAAGAATGATAATGACTGGCACCAGATGAAATTTGGCATAGCTGATAGAAATTGTATTATTAATTTTTCTTTAGTAAGCATCAGCCACACACTATTTTATATCAACTTGTGTATTCAAATTTGCTTTTTCATTGGGCAGGAAGCAATGAGACAAACTTATCAGAGAGCTATCAAAGCTGCAACCGACTTTGGTTATCAAAAAGAAAGCCCTGAGTAAGTGTTTTCTTCAGTAGCATTACAACAATGATCAATACTAAACATTATTTGCTTTTCTTTCCAAAATTAATGGCTCGCCCAGTAGGGGATCCTATCTGGTTAGTTCTCTCCCTCTTTCAATATTGATTAGTTTTCTCTCTTTTTCAATATATACAATTTTCCTCTGTGAAGATGTGTCTTAAAGTTCTGAGTATTGAGTATACCAATTTAGCAAAATTGTAGCGTTCATTAATTCATGATTCCGATTCTTATATGAGCAATTGCAAAGAAAATCATACTTTTACTTTCTTACAAAAACACATCAGGTACAAGACCTGTCTTAACATAGGTTATTTCTCAACCAACAAGATTGCATTGGTGAGATGTAATGTTTTTCTATTATAAAAAAAATAAAAAATAAAAGCTCAAGTCACCTATACCTATTGCATTCTTGTGTAACATGATTTATTGGGATAAGACTTTGTTTTTTGTTGTACAGGTATTTTGTGTAACATGTCATTGTAATTATTTTGTACTTTTCTTGCAATGGATTTTTGTTTGAATGATTATTCATCTTCAAATGTCTTTGTTCTAAATATGCAGCCTAAGTTAATATTTGTGTGCTTGTTATGTCAGGGCTCTGGTACATGGAGCGGTCATATCTGCCTTTCTAACTATTGCTCAGGCCATGACTGATCAAGGCTCTGTATAGAAAAGTTCACGCTGCAAAGTTTTGAATGCAATTAAATGCTGATTTACGTAGCAGTATGGTTCGAATCTGCATTCACTGAATAGTCCAAATCATTGCTGATGCTACACTGTCTAATTGTCAATGATAGTATGATACACGATTGCCAAAGCACATTGCCTTGTAAAATATGTAATATAAGAAAATTTAGACTTAGAAAAGAAAAATATCTAGAGGACAAATTTTAGTTCACAACAGAATAGGTATCTTTATTATTGCCAAGAAAAAGGAGAAATTGTCCTTGGCTTATTAAACCCTGCTTGATGCTTGTTCCAAACTTGAGAAATATTTGGATATTGATATTTGAAATAAAAGCTTAGCATTGAAATTGAATATGCTTATTGTTTAATTGGTTCAATTCCTGTCATTAGCAATCCATTTTGGCTGGTAAATTTTAAGTATAATTATTAAGCATTTTTTTTCATTGGTAGACAATTCGAAAATTTAAAGTCTGTACAAAAGATATTAAATCTTCCTAAACTTGCCAATAACTACTGAGAATTACTATAATATACTGATACAGATAAAAATATATATTCTAATCTAGTTTCTATAATGTACTGATTTCTATTAACGAAAATATTTTTTTTTTTTTCTGTTCTCAACTTCTTTAGCCTAGTTAATAATGTTAAAAGAAATAAAACATTAAAATTGGAAGAGATTTTTTAAAACCAATAAAAAAATCTTCTTTCTCACAAGTAATGTATGGTATTTTTTCCAGGCCCATGTTTCATAATCACAACGCCCTCAACACAAAATTCGAAACCTTAAACGCCTTTATCACTCTCACATCATTGCAAACAAATTTACTGTCTTTCCCATCTCTTCAATGCATTCAATCATAGGCCACTGAAAGTCTGGAACAATACCTCCCACTTTAATTGTCAAAATTTTCCTTCTTTTCCTTCTATTTGTTTCCCTGTCATAATAAGTGTTGGACACTTATTATTTTAATATTTTTATTTATAATATACAAATTTATCAAATCTAATTGATAAATCATATATTATATTAATAATTACATTATTATACATATCAATTTTTAGATAAATATACCATTCATACATAATATTATGTTTTAAAAGGGTAGTATGTGTTAAAACAAAGTTGATTAATGAAATATCGATTAATTTTTATATTTTATAAACTTGATTTCAGTCAATGAAACTTTCAATCCATTAATTAGATTGGTGTAATTCAATGTTTTATAAAAGCCTAATAAGATATACAAATTTAATAAGACACTCTTAAAGTAAATGAGTCATCACCCTCAAGATTTAGAAATAAACTTAGGTATATTTATCATTATTATAAACTTAGATAAAGTACTTTAAAAATTATGTATAAAATAAATTTAATTAGTGGTGTAAAAATATTTTACATAGATAGTATATAGAGACTTGAATCTTTGCTAACATAAATGTCTATATTTATATATGGAACAAAATTATTACCTTGAGAAAGATGCCTACTACTCTACTAGGGAATCTCTCCTCTCCCCTAAAAAAAATAAGCAATATATGGGATTCAAGCATTTTCTTTTATGCCCACACCAAAAGCAAAAAAGTATTTTCTTTCCCTTTTTTTTTTGTTTTTTGGTTTAGATTAAGACATGTTTCCACACTTTTGTGAGACAAGTCCTAGGTTAAGCGTCAGCCTAACTCTAAGGTAATCTAAGAAATTTTGAAATAAGTTTTTTTCATAAGCCGATTCAATGTAACCTGGGGAAAGAAAATGAACCAAAAAGTCAGAAAACTGAATATACAAAAATCAAACAAACAAAAAAGTCAAAATACCTGTTTTTGTTTTTTTTATTGGATCACATTTCAAATATGATTTTTTGAAAAGATTTAAATATGTTTTTAGTCTTTTAAATTTAAGATAAATTTATTTTTAATTCTTCTAATTTAAAATTATTCTTTTTAATTTCTATAATTTTAAAAAAAATCTTATTTTAGTTCTTATACTTAAATTTTGTTAGAAAATATGTTAAATGTTGTTGCATAAAATCTACCAAATAGTATCTTTATTAGTAAAAATATCACTTTAAACTCAATTGATAGTATATAACTATATCAATCTATCACTTTCAGATATATTATTGGTTATTTGAAGGACTAGAATAAGATTTTTAAAAATTACAGGACTAAAAATAATAATTTTAAATTTGAGGAACCAAAAATAAATTTATCCTAAATTTAAGAGACTAAATACATATTTGAACCTTTTTGAAAATTAGTCTCATCCAATCAAATTCAATCCTAGCTAAATTTACATGCACATAAAATTTCATTTGTGAATCTATCATACTACTCTTATTTGAGTAAGAATATGCTTATAAAATTACTACCCCAATTTATCTTTCTCTTAATCTTATTATCTAAATTTGTATTAGTTTATTTAGTAAGTTGAAAATTGTTCTTATATCTTATTCTTTGTTATTTGTTAAATAAAGAATACATTAAAGAAAATTAGCAAGTCCATGTTTACAAACTAAAACAATTTATTACATTTCTTGTTAAAATTATGATGAACTTTTATATTTTGAAAATTTAGATTATTTAAACTAGTGATTATATTTTTAATCATGTTTTGAAGTAGGATGAATCTTATTTAATACTTGGAATAACCTCTTATTTTATTTTATGATGTATTTAGTGTTTTATTTAATATTTTTGGTTGGTGTCAAAAATATGTATTTTGGTTCTTAAAAAACAAAAATTGATATGAATATACATTTCAAATAATTTATTGCTATAAATCAAATCATAATTTATTGTTATAATCAAATAGGCCTGACGTTGTAAATTGAATATTTAGAAAAACTATCTACCCCTTTATTGTGGCTTTGACCTTTAACTTTAAATTTAATGCAAAATTTATTTACATAGTGAAACGGTCCTCTCCTATGGCTAGCATGGACCAATCCTCCCCATTTGTAATTAAGATGCAGAGATCTGGTCCTTCAAAAAAAAAGGCGAAATATTTAAGAAAAATATGGTTGAATAGGTGTTATACAATCATAACTTGCATTGGATGCCGTAAAAACTTGGGTTACTGTGGGCACAGCAGAACTTTCGTTTTACATTTCAAGATAAATATGACCATATCCCATAAAAATAAATAAAATTTAAGAATTCCATTTATGTCTAAACTTGAATGAACTCAAATTCAGACATCTCCATACTCGATTTGAAAGGTCAAAAAGTCAGTTGTATTCTTAGTTTCTTACAGGATACTTCAGAATAGATACACACATTCACAATGAAATAAATCATCTTATTTCTACTTCGAATTGGGTTATAAAGTTGTTTAACCATGTGTTACTGATTTCATACAATTCAAGGATGATGGCTACAACCAAAAAAAAATCTTTTTATATCAAACGGTGTTTACAATATCACACATCAAACACTTCTGCATTGTAACTTGATAAATATCAAAAAACCAAATGCTCCAGTCCTAGAAAGATGGCAGAAACTGCCTCAGTCAGTGAGGCAAACCGTAAAACTCTGCCTGATATGCAAGTCATAAACTGCGATATGCGGCATATTCAATTTAACTTGCTCTCCTCGAAGAATGTGTGGATGAATCAGTTTTTTCAGCCAGATAATGCTCAAGCATATCCTCTTCATCATCATCTGTCATGACAAACATAAAACATGTATTTTATTATATTCAAAATAAGAAAGCATTTGTTCCAATGGAAAAACTGTGTTTAAAGAGAAAGAGAGAGAGAGAGAGGGGAATACCTTCAAAATCATCTTCATCAAAATCAATATCTTCCTCATCCTCCTCGTCAGATTCCTCCGCAACCGCAGCTGCACCTTTCTGTGAATGTACAAAAATAGCTGGTATATTTATATGTTCATAAAATTTAAGAGAATTATCGCAAGATGCCAATCGGAACGAAATTTAAAGAAATGGGATCCATTAACCAAGAGTGGTTAATTATGTTATGGAGTGCTTTAAGCAAGATTCATTTAACAAGGAACCTTGGGTGACTATATTCAACAACCAGGACGCATTAACCACTAGTATGGTTAATCTTGATACGAAGTGAACAAGAGGTTACTGGGCTAATTGGGATAAATTTTACAGCCCACATATCCTTTGTAATAATTATCTCAATTTTTAATGTTTCATTTGGAGGCATTGAATCACAGTTTACCAATAATTTTTTGGCCACAGGCCTTTTCTCAGACATCATTAAATCCAAGTTGTGGATTCTTTTCGCCTGAGTTGTTGAACGTTTAACACAGATTAATTTCGGACATCAAGATAGGAATAATTATAGTAAGAACAAGAAGGTACCGCTCTTCCACTTTC